ATGCCTGCCGCACATGTGGCGCAGATGATGTCAGGCACTGGAACGTGGGGCGCGCTTGCCCCAGATGGAATTAAGGTTGCCTTAGCGTGACCCGCGCGCGAAACGTCGAGACCCTGGATCCATGTTTCGCATCGTCAACACTTCGATGTCTGCCAGATGGCACCGCCGTCCCATCTCTCTATACAGCCCAATTCTACGTCTCGCTTTGTTTAATCATTTTCATCTTCTCCGCTACTTAATTGTGATCGTATCTGGCTGATAGGCCTTCCAAACCTCCGCAGTGTGGAGCTGTGAATGTGAACGAACACCCACGCTCACCGCACGCGACCCTGCCCGCCATGAGCCGCATTCACCTGTGGTAAACAACGTGGAACGTCATAACAAGACTGTGAGTGCGATTTGTCTCCCAAACACCAACATGCCGCAATAACACCACAACGCCATGCTCGGCGACGAAGCGGTGTTTAGATTGAAGCGGTCGGTGAGCGACGGCGACCATCTCATCCCTATGGGAGAGGTGACCCCGCCTCGCTCACTGGACAACACACCGGCGACACGATCCAGTCGCTCCTTCTCCATTTCCAAGCTGACAGACTCAATCAAAGGGAAGATAGCCAACTCATCCCGCTCCTCCCGCTCCTTTCGCACCCCTTCCATCGACAAGCGCGATATCTCGAGTCCGATATTAGACCACAGAAGTCCGCTGTGCCCGCCTACGCCGAAGCCAAGGCTTGCCATTGCCCTCCCGGAAACGCCTGTCCCGCGACGACCTCTATCACGATCCAGTCCCGGCACCGTCAAGCCTGGCCGTCCGAATTCTACCGCACGACACTCATACTCTGCTTCCGACCCCACCAATTACATATCGCCCGGTCGGCGTCCACGTCAACGTCAACCTGATCGCCCGCCCCCGCCTCTACCAATCGCAACCAGCTTCGAGAGCACAGCCGGCACCCTAGTGGACAGTCCGTTGGAGCGCATAGCCGAGTCGCCCTTCGAGCCGCAAGAAGACGCCCCAACTGAACGGCTTCACCTCGACAAAGTATACAGATACCTCAGAGACATGGAACCTGCAAGGCTACAACCGCCCATGATGGGTGGCACCAAAGGGCGTGCAATGCAACAAGCAAAGGATATGGAGCTCCTGGTTGCAGAGAGAGCCAAGCGGGGTGGTGAGGAACCACCGCCATACGACTTCTACGAGCTTATTGGCAAGGGTGCATATGGCCGCGTCTACAAAGGGTGGGTATCATGCAGCGGACCCCAGAACACTCGCTGACACTACAAAGAAAGAGTCGAAATACCGGTGCGCTCGTTGCCATCAAGATCATCGAGATCGATAAGGTTGACTACGAGGAGATGACACACAAGAACCTCCAGGACACACTTAAGGAGATTGATATCCTGCAGCAACTCAGAGATAGCAAGGCAAGACCCTACGTCAACATCATCGAGGAGGCCAGGCCTGTCCATAACGAACTCTGGATTGTCAGCGAGTATGCCAGTGGTGGTAGTGTCAACACGTTGATGAAGCCTACGGCTATGACCAAGGACCCTGGACCTGGACTGGCGGAGAAATTCATCATACCCATTGCACGTGAATTGGCGCAAGGTCTCAAGTACATCCATGAAGCTGGTGTGCTACATCGAGATCTGAAATGTGAGTAGTGCTGGTTCTACTGTTCTCAATTCCTGCTAACCAAACCAAGCCAACAACGTTCTTATCCTCGAAGACGGCCGGGTGCAGCTTTGCGATTTTGGTGTCTCCAACACCCTGGAACCAGAAAGATCGAAGCGCTCGACTATCGTCGGTACACCTTTTTGGATGGCGCCTGAACTGCAAAAGGAATGGGTAAAGGATGCGGACCCGCACAGCTTGATGCAACCCAAGGAGATATCCTACGGAAACGAGGTTGATATTTGGGCCTACGCTTGCACTGTCTATGAGATGGCTTGCGGTTATCCACCTCATCACAAGATTGGGCAGTTCGATTTGCCAACGGCTGGTGTGCCTGTGCTTGAAGGTGATCGCTTTTCCCAGGAACTAAAGGATTTCCTAGCTTTCGTCTTCCAGCCAGAGCCGCAAGATCGACCAACACCCGACCAGATCCTGGAGCACCCATATCTTGCGGACACTACCAAGATGTACCCAACTGTGTCACTCGTCAAGTTGGTCGAGGACTATTATGTATGGGAGCAACAGGGCGGTGCACGACAGTCGCTCTTCAATCCATACGGTGCTCAAGCACCAGACCCGCTTGCCCCAGAAGTGGAAGACGACGACGACGATGACTGGTCTTTCAATGTATCAGAAGAATTCGAGCAGGAACATGCACCACAATTTGGCGATCCTTTTGCGGGTGGGGCCGGACAAGGCTTCAACGGAATGGGTCTACCACCGATAGCAGATATGGGCCGTTTCGAACAGCTACAAGCTAGGTTCAAGGAGGAGTCTATCGTCCGAGGCCAGAAACGTCTGAACAAGCTATTCGATACGAACACGACACCGTACCGGTACAGCGCAGTCGATATGCCAGATCCTCCGAATGGCCGCCCACCCTCCGATCTAGTCCTACGCGACTTCAATCCTGGCGCACCCAACCGTGAGACTGTCATTGACCTGGACTTTTCGATGCCATCAGCAGATGAGATACCCAGTATCGATCTGGGTGAGGTACCGACCATCCGCGCGAACCGCATGAAGAGCATCATACGTGAGATGGAGGAAGAAGAGGAGCGCCGGGATGCTTTCAATGAGGAGGATGAGATGACTAAACGAGCCACGAAAGACTGGACCTTCCCCAGCATGAATGACGAGAACCGCAAGACTATGGAATGGTCCTTCCCCTCGGAACAACCAAACCGAAAGACGATGGAGTGGTCGTTTCCTGCTGAACAGCAGCCTAATCGCAAGACAATGGAATGGTCTTTTCCGGCGCAACCTCAGAAGCCAAATCGACGCACAGTAGAATGGACATTCGATGCAGCGATGGCAGAGGCCAATAATGAGCCCAGGAATCGCGCATCAAATCGGATCTCTCGACGACGTGAGACGAAAGAGTGGACGTTCCCCAAGCAGGACGATAATCGCAAGACTCAAGACTTTGCCTTTCCCATGGGTAGCCCGAAGGAGCCACGGCGCGGTCAGCACACGAAGACGGACTCATCTTCACCAATCCTCGCATCTGGTTTCCGGCCAACCCTGCGACATGCCCAAACAGCGCCTGTCGACCCTATTGATGACTACCCTGAAATGATTAGCTCTGCGCCTGGATCTCCTCTTCGTTCGTCCATGATTGACCTCGATATGGCCATGGTGCAGGACTACCGTCCATCTACGTCTGGCTCTGATATTGTCACAGCAGGAATCGACCGTATGAATGACAACCCATTCAACCTCGAGGACCAGGTACAGCTATCACAGAATAACCATCGCGCTTCCTTCCACATGAAGTCGCAGTCGGAACCAAACCAGGCCGTGCCGGGCCTACTGACACCTCAGCAATACGATGAGCAAGGCCATCCCACAAACCAGGACCCACACCACCCCAGCATGCACGCTCGAGGCGTCAGCTCAGCGAGCCAGGTACAGTCACAGGCGAAACCAGCACCCAGCTCCGGCCAGTACCACCGCGGAAACCAGCGCTCTCAGCAAATCATTTGGGACGGCTGGTCGCATAACATGGCCTACGGACTAAGCAGCGACGACCAGTCACCTCCCATGAGCGTGACAACCGACACTTCGCTCGAAGAAGAAGACGTAGACGACCTCTGGGACACATTCGAGCGCCTCAACCTCGCCGCACAGCGTCGTCCGATAGGCCAAGCTTCCGCCCCCCTCCGTTCCTCGCGCAGAACAGACTCTACATCCACAACCCTCACTTCCACCACGTATACCCTCGACTCCGACACCGACGACTCGTACCACCACGGCAACACGTACTCTTCTTCTTCGGACTTTGATCAACAAGACGCCCCGCGCTACAGCCGCAAGTCCACCACCGTCAGCGTCAGTCCGAACGGGAAGCCGCTTGTCGATTTCCCCGTTCCGACTGGGCCTGAGGTGGAGGCGCTGTTGGGCGTGGACATGGACGCGCGGGTTCTGGCTGATATGCTGCTGAAGAGTGCGGTGGAGTTGAGGGACGGCACGAGGGCTAGTAGGGATCTGCTGAGGGCGATGCGCTTACAAGATGTGGAAGGCGAGGGCGAGGACGATGATGAGGGTGCGGATGAGGAGATGAGAGGGGGGACTGTTAGGCTGAGGGGGCCTGCATGAATTTACGATGGAATGATGCTGGTTATGGGAATGAGGCGTTGGGCGATACTAAGCAATCTTTGCTGGAGTTGGGCTGGGTCTTTGATGAAGTTCATCCGGACTGTCCCTTTCTGTCAAAGAAATACTAGGACGGGATACATTCCAATTGAAACATGAAGAAATTTTCAGCCTGCCACCCCATCGTGATCATAACATGAACAGTAGCTTCCCAGCCCACGGCGGTGCCATCTTCGCTTTGAGCAAAGGCTATATCCAGCACCTGGAGAAGAAGCTTGCGAGCATGGGTCAAACGTTGAACGTGGAACCAGCTTATCGTTGGTTATCAGAACTAGCACAGGCAAAAACAACGCAGCTTCAGTCGCTGCGCAGCGTCGCCGTCGAAGAAGGACTAGAGATGGTGAAAGCTGTTGGGTTAAGTGGTAGATTGTACGAGCGGATGGACTGGAAAGGCCCAGTTGAACCGAGAAGAAGGTTTGAGTTGGCTGGAGTGGGATTGGAAATGCGACTACTTGGGTTTGAGTATCAAGGGACGTAGGCATGAAGACGGGAAGGGGGAGGACGAGGATGTGTTGGTGCGGTAGACTGGTGTCAACATATGGAGATTACTAGACACGGTATCATGCTCATATTGCAAGATGGGAATGCTATGGGATCAATGTTTATCAAATCGAGCTATGAACGGGGTCTTCTTCGCACACAATTATATCAGCAAGACATCTTGACTCTACTCTACTGACTCTGCGGCTGCGCCTGCAATCTGCTTCAGTAGGGCGTGTGTCTCGTCTAGCATCTGCGTCTGCAATCTGAGACGTTCTGTCAGGGCATCGATCTGTTGGTCTTTCGCGACCAAGCACGCCTCTAAACTTGTCACGACCTGACCCCACAACTTGTCCTTCGCTGCTAACTGCGCTCTCAGATCCCCGATGGCGTTACTGGCCTGCTCTGTGACCTCTATCTTCGAGATCAGCGATGCGCGTCGGACGTCGGTAGTACGGCACTGTTCTGTGCCGATTCTATCGTCGCAGGCTTGGACTAATCTGTCCACCTGGCTAGTGAGGAGTGCCATATATTCATCGGTATGCTCTTGGAAGAAGATCTCCTCATTCGACGGCCACTGTTCTAGACGCACGTTGAGACGCTCCGACAACTCGTCAAACGCTCGTCGACAAACTCTGGAGGCGTTCAGCTTCCCTAGCTGAAAGGCCATGTCTACCTTGTCGATGAAGTCGAAATCTTCCGGCATCTCAAAGCCGAAATAGCGGCTAGCCTTTGTGATTTTGTGGAGTAACGTCTGCTGGATGAAGTACCTATCTTGTCTCTCTTTTATGAGTGCAGATTCGGCAACATCTTTGTCCTCTTGGAGCTCTTTCTGAGTCTGCTCTAGCTCTTGTTTCTGTGTCTGAAGAGCGCTGTCTAGCTCTTCGTCAAATTGCTGCTTCTGTTTCTGAAGCGCATTTTGGTTATCGCGTCGGTGCTGACGCTCCTGCTCTTCGAGGTCGATTGCATGTTTACTCTGCAGCTCACTTCTCTGTTCGATGAGTGCTAGTCCGAATCGCATTTCTAGATCAACTGTGTCTGTGATCTTTGCTTCAGTCGTGCTAGCGTCTTCGATCGATCTTCGAAAATCCGCCGCAAGTGAAGCCCATGTGTGAGAAACGGCGGCAAGACTTGCCGCATCGTTAGCAAGCTCTCGTTGTCGTGCCCGAAGAAAGCTCTCAAATATTGCTTGTAAGATACCCGCCATTGGCTTGTGGATGTGAGGGTGGGTGTGGGTGGGCGTGGTGGTGGCGGGAGGTGAGTGCTCCAAGATTGGGATTTGACGACCTTCGCCCCTTCCGCATTGGGCAGGCGCACCTCTACCGGCGAACAGCACCGGCACTTAAAAAGCTCAGGCACTAAAATTGATGAGTGTGAGATGACCTGATTCTTTCCGAATGAAGCGATCAACCGGATGCATCACTCGAGCATCCTTCACTGATCACCGTTCACCATAAAGACCGCAACGGAAGATGCTTGACGCGACAAGCATCTCGTGTCTACTTCTTGATGCAATGTATGTAGGGAGAACTGCACAAGCAAGCTTCCATGAGACCGATCTCCGCCATTTCGATAGAGGAAAAGGCAACACGGACGACTCAACACATATTTGACCTCGTGGAAGACTTTGAGTGGCGGGCGATGGGCACAACCCGACGACATGCATCCTGATCGTCGCTGTTTTAAGAAGTGGAGAAGTGACAAGAAAGCAGAAACATGACTCCTTCCGATGCGTGTTTTGATCTTGCAAAACAGGGCGGAACAGCGGAATCCATAACTTGTTGTTGGGGATAGTTTGTAGAGAGCAGAAAGAAGCCGCACAGTCATGGATTTGAACCTGTAGCTTTTTGGTAATAAAGAAGATAATATGGTATGAGGAAGAGAGAACAGGAGGTTGGCGAGGGGTTTATATACCCGTCCACCCTGCGAAGCCAGTAGCCAGTCATGCCAAAAACGTCCTTCCTATAATCGAGCGAGCGGCGACATGAGCACTCCATCATTTAGCTCGGACTTCTTTTCGGAGGTTGAAGACTACAAACGCGGCGAGAGCACATGGCTTGCTGCTTATGTCTTTTCGGTAGGCGGCAAACCAAGGGTTGCTCATAACGATGCGAATGCATAACTCATGTGTAGTCGGCAACACTGGAAGATGACTTGAGACATGGTATGGATATAGGAGTTTTCGAATCCGCAAACCAGGAACGAGACATGGTTTCTATTACGCTCAATTTTGGTGATGCCTTATTTTCATACCACTCGAAGGAGCGAAAAGGACCACATGGAAATGGAGTGAGGGTTTTTGGTCGGTACTCATACATGAGAGAATGCGGTTCCACACACTCTCATGAATGGTTGAGAACGTGTTTTGAAAGCAGATCGTTTTGAAGGAAGGGGAACCAGGCCAGAAGTCATGGTTTTCCGTCAAGCTGTTTTCGTTGAGAAAGGCAGAGGAAGCAGCCAGCCATAAGTCGTACACAAATGTCTTTTGGAAAAACGCAAGTAGACTGTGTGATGAAGAGAGAAGCAAGGAGAGAGTAGAGAGGACGTCTTTATATACGCGAAGAATGGAACCCAAGCACGTGAGACCCTCGGCTGGAAGTTGGAAGACCGGACGAACATGGTCAGCACCAGCACTCGACCAAACGAACTAAGTACGTGCCTTTTGAAACCAATCTCTTCACTGCCAACTTCACAGACCACACGCACCAGCACCAAAACACCCAATCTCAGAACGGAACAATTTATCATTCCATTTCCGCAGATAATATACACTCGGCGCGAGACCCTCATCCAGTCCCACACCTCCAAACCCCATGCCTTATCAACCAAAAACGCCTCAGAACCCTAGCTTTCGACTTGCTCGACGATATTTATAAGGGGTATAGAATCTGGAAACCCCGGCCCATGTTGTAATTGTAAGAAAGAACAGCACACTAATTTCCACCCGCACCCGCCCCTGTATTCACACCACTCTCCCTCTTCCGTCTCCGCCGCTGCCGCGCGTTATCTTTAAGGAACTGCGGGTCTATGAAACCTTCTGGGAGCTCAAACTCCTTCTCTGCGAAATCGGGTATGGGCTGGCCGAAAGCAGATGCGTTGCGCCCATGTCTATGCTTTCCGAGGGCTGCGGCGCGGAGGTGTGGTTTCGCGTAGAAGGAACTGAACGGCGCTGCGGGTTCGGGCGGTACGAAGGGGAGGAGGAAGCCATGCGGACGCGGGGGCCGCCGTGGTTTCGGTGGCTCGGGCTCTTTTGGCTGCTGTCGTGGTGGTGGAGGATCGCGGCTGCGGACTACAATGTTATCTGAGTCTTCTGTTTCCTCGCCATCCTCTTCTTCGTCTTCTTCCCTTGCGGCGAGCGCTGCTTCTTTCTCAGCACGCAAGCGCTTCTCCTCTTCTTTCCAGACGCGGAACTTGTCGACGAGGGCTTCTACCTCTCGGACAAAGTAGTCGCGCTTCGCCTCCCAGTCCTTTCTTTCGCCGTCTGTCACGCCCGTTATGCCCATGACCTTGAGCCAGTCTGGGCCCTGCAGTCCGTCGAGGAGTCTCTCCAATTGCACTTTCTCGTGCATGGCGCGCTCCTTTTCGATATTCCGCAGCTGCTTCTCCTTGCGCTCGGCACGTCGGTGCTGTGTGAAGAATACCGAGTCGGCGAGCGGGTCTTCGCCGTCATTGTGGGAGATGGCATTGGCTATGGAGGCGTAGTTGAGGACTGTGAATGTAGTCGAGGATTGGGACGGGAGTATTGACGGATCCGAGGCATGGCGCGGAGGGGACGGGTGTCGTGCTTTCCGTGACCGCGTGGGGCTTACTGAGCTTCGCGGGGGCTCTGGAGTCTTGGCCTTCACGGGCTCGTCGACAATGTATATGGGCGTGTCGACATCGAGAAATTCTGCACGCGATCAGAGCTATATCGTGACATGTGACAGGGACAGTGACCTACCATCCTCTTTGGGCACGCCGGCAATGATGTCGTCGTAGTTGGCAAAGTAGACGGCGAGGTCGCTCTTCAGCCGCGACCCTCCATCGTGGCTCCGCAGGCTCCTCTTGTCTGTGGTTGTGGAGGAAGCTGTGGACGCCGGGGCGGGGACAGCTGGGGGCGCAGCAAGCTTGCCGGAGCTGCCAGGCCGGGGCGTGGACCTCGCGGAGGGCACGTCGTCGGCGTCGATGCCCAGGGGCGCGGCGACGCCATTGGTGATGCGCAGCAGCTCGCCATGTGGTTGTGTAACGGTGATCTTGGTCGGCGGTCTCGTGTCGGTCGCGTCGGGCTCGAGGGCAGTGGCTGGCCGCTTCCTGCTGCTGGTGCGCGCAGGCGGCGGCGGTTTTGCAGGCGTGTGGGCGACGGGCTTGACGGCGCCGTCGTCGTCGGCGCGCGCAAGCAGAGGGCCGCTTTTCGAGGCCCGTCTTGTCGCGATGGGCGCGTGGTTGTGGTTGCGCTGGGCTTGTGGGTGGGCGTCATTGCGCGACACGGGCAGGAAGTTGAGCCTGGTCTGCCGTTCATTCGAGCTCCGCAGCAGCGAAGGCCGAACGGCGTTGGCCATGGTAGTGATCAGACTTGAGATCATTCGCGATTCGGTGGGTCATCTTTCAGCTATTCATTGTGGAGCTGCCATTGATGTCGCGCTGAGATGTGCCAAAACGCGAGCCGTTAGGGGGTCGTCGAGTGGCAGAGCCCGCGCAGTTTGCCAAACGAGCTGCTGCACCCACGGCGCTCCCGTACGCCTCACCCAGACACTGCAAATATGGATGAGGTTGGATTAAGCCCTATAGCAGACCTTCCCATCTCGATATCGCCATGTACATCAGAAGATTATTCAACGAATTGCAGTACAGCGCATGTGAGATACTTGGAAGCGTAGCGCCACTGACGTTGGTAGCCAATCAGTACGAGTGGGCGACATCACATCAACTTGACATCTGGAACATCATAACGCTTTGGCTAGAACTGACTATCGGAGGTCCTTTCCTTGCATGTGCAATTGAGAGATTGAGAGACCAAGGACGATTCACTTGCATGGCAGCTGGGCACACCCTGGCACCACATACTCAACAACAACAACGTATCCAACTCTTCCATGCCACTCAAACTTCAGCATCAACATCAACGTCAGTCAATACAACCTCAAAGCCACGCGATCACGAGAAGAGAAAGTCCTTCAAGACGGGCGACCCAGCAAACTCCGGGTTCAGCAAAACGCAACTATTAATAGTCAGCCGATATGCGCTAGCTTTGTTATCGATAAACACACTTGAGAAAGTACGAGAGTGCTTGTTTCCGCTTTTCCAGAAAACGGGGCCTAAAGCGAGCTATGCCCGACGCGTTAGCACTCTATTGTTTTGGTGGAGTGATGCTGCAGGCGGGCCATGTGACTTACATATTACGGATTTGGGTGGGAAGTGCGGCATGGAACCCGCGGCATGAGGAAACGTCTGGAGCAGCTTGGTGTGCAGATCTTCAAACTCGGAGTATCTGGTACGATCAGCAGAGGGAATCGAAAGTGACAGACCATGGCCAACCTCTTGCGTATCTTCATGGGACCTCCCTGTCACAGTTAGCATATGCATGATGGTTCATCACCTGGAGATGGCAGTCCACCACGGGCCCTCTGCATGAAACCATTTTTTGAAAAACAATCTCATGCAGATGATTGGCTGCGAGGACATCGCCGGGCGGGCTAGCGCATCTCCATGCGGCTGGGAACGTACATCGAGTGTCTCGACCGTACAATTAAAGACGACGTAAGCTCCAAAGCCCGGTGACGGCCCGCCGATGACAACGTAATCATCTATCGTGACACCCTTGGCCCAGAGGACTTTGCAGTGGTCCGAGTCCTCATCCGTATGGTCCTCGAGGCCGATGGGGGTGGGGCGGCCGTTGTCAGCAGAGTAGTTGCTCAGATACGAGGCATTGCGCTGGTGGGATTGCCAGTAGGGTGGGACCACAGTGACGGTGGCGGGGGTTGGCCCATCTCGGGCTGGCGACGAAGACGGGTCTCCAGTTTCAAAGCTCGCCGGCTCCATCCATTTACAGGAGATGGCTGGGCAGGTGGCGCGTCAAACGGGAGGGCGGTTGGTATCTAGAATGCCGCGTGGGTGTGTGAGGGGTAGATATGCTCGCCGGTGCATGCAGCCAGATGCAGTCGCGTCTAGTGTCTTGTTGACGATGTCTGGAGAATTGGCGGCGCTGGCCTCGCTCGTCTCAACCGAATG